GTGGGGAGAGGGGGAGAGGGGGGGGGACGGGGCAGGGGACAGGGACAGGGACAGGGGACAGGGACAGGGATGGGGACAGGGACAGGGATGGGGACAGGGGACAGGGACACAGGGACAGGGTGACAGGGATGGGGATGGGGACATGGGATGGAAATGGGTCACCCCCAGTGTGGCTGGGACAAGGTGTCCCCCTGTCCCCAGCTGTCCCCAGGTGTCCCCACTGACCCCAGGTGTCCACAGATGTCCCCATTGTCCTCAGGTGTCCCCATTGTCCCCAGGTGACCCCAGGTGTTCTCAGGTGTCCCCACTGTCCCCCACTGACCCCAGGTGTCCCCAGGTGTCCCCAGGTGTCCCCAGGTGTCCCCGGTACCTCCTCCTGGCGCTGGAGCTGAGGCGCACGGACACGGGGACCGGTGTCCCCTCCCTGATGGCCCTGAGGATGGTGGGCAGTGGCTCCAGCTCCTCCTGCGTGGCCTGCGGGGACACCGTGGGGACATCACAGGGACACCGTGGGGACATCATGGGGACACCGTGGGGACATCACGGGGACACCGGGGCGGAGAAGGAGGTGGCCGGCGCAGCGCTGGGGACAGGAGGGGGTGGTGGCACCTGCTCGAGGCTGGAGAAGATGTCACAGAGCAGCAGGTGGAGCGTGGCGAGCTCCAGGGCCAGGTCCACGCAGCCGTTGTAGGTGGCCATGTGGGCGCTGGCCTCGGGGGTGGCCACGGCCTGCAGGAACTCGCTCATGGTGGCCCAGTTCTGCTCCAGGAACTCGTTCATGAAGGTCATGTAGGGTTCCTTCTCGCCAAACCTGGGGTCAGCACCACGGTCTGGGGTCATGGTCATGGTCTGGGGTCATTGTCATGGTCTGGGGTCACCACCATGGTCAAGGGGTCACCGACATGGTCTGGGGTCACCATCATGGTCTGGGGTCATCGTCATGGTCACATGGGCCACCATGACCACCATGGTCAGGAGCATGGACCATCCAAACCAACTGTCCCATGGAGCCTTGGGGACAACCCAGACTTGGGGACAACCCAGACCTTGGGACAACCCAGACCTGGGGACAGCCCAGCTGCCCCACGCCTCTCCACGCAGCACAGCCGAGATGTTCCCCCTGCCCCACGTCCCCGTCCCACCCCCACGGTGACCTACGTGGTGAAGTTGGCCAAGTTCTGGATGACCTTGGCCACCAGCGTGAGGGTGCGGGCGGTGGCCTCGGCCGGGTACTCGTGGACCAGGCCGAAGAGGCTCGGGGACATGATGGCCGGGCACAGGAACCTCAGGAAGAGCGAGGCCGACACCAGGCGCTGGCCGATGGCCGCCTTGGCCCGCGCCGCGCACTCCCGGCGCCACGCCGAGAACACCTCGGCCAGCTCGGCCGGGAAGGACCTGGGTGGGGACAACGTGATGGGGACAGGGGACCTGCCGGTGCCACCCTGGGTTGGTGCGGGGGGTGGTGGCACCACGGCTGGGGTGGGCACCGAGGGGGTTTTCATCTCCATGGGTAGCCCAGGGGTGGTGACCATCCCCATCCTTGTCCTCAAACTTGTCCCCAGGTCCATCCTGATGTCCATTCTTGTCCTTGGGTCCATCCTGATGTCCATCCCTGTCCCTAGGTCCATCCTGATGTCCATCCTTGTCCCCAGGTCCATCCTGATGTCCATCCTTGTCCCCAGACTTGTCCCCAGGTCCATCCTGATGTCCATCCCTGTCCCCAGGTCCATCCTGATGTCCATCCTTGTCCCCAGGTCCATCCTGATGTCCATCCCCATCCCTGTCCCCAAACTTGTCCTGTCCCTGATGCCACCCCCGTGTCCAGGTGGGTTCTCCCAGGTTCTCCTGCTCTGGCTGTGACCCCGGTGCCACCCCGGCCGTTCCCTCCGGCCGTCCCTCACTCGGAGCCGTCGGTGATGCGCCGCAGGGTCTCCTCGCAGAGCTGCCGCAGGTGCTGCTGGTGCTCCGACAGGTCCAGCTGTCCCAAGCACCTGCTGGGGTCCACCTCGGAGCTCTCCTCGGAGCTGCAGAGCTGGGCCACCACCTCCCCTGGGGACAGGGGACAGCCCGTGAGGGGACCAAGGGGTCACCAAGGTGGGGATGGACATGAGGAACCCACACCACGTCCCCGTGGGCGGTCAGGGGTGTCCCACAAGCCATGAGGGGACCGAGGGGTCACCACCACGTCCTCGTGGGTGGTCAGAGGTGTCCCACAAGCCATGAGGGGTCACCACCACCTCCCCTGGGGACAGGGGAAAGCTTTGAGGGGACCAAGGGGTCACCAAGGTGGGGATGGACATGAGGAACCCACACCACGTCCCTGTGGGTGGTCAGGGGTCTCCCACAACGCCCAGGGCCTGGTCCCAGCCAAGGTGTCCTGCCCCCTGCCACCCCCCGGGATGTCCCCCGTGTCCCCTGGGCGTACCCAGCGTGTCCTGCAGGTACTTGGCCCCCACCAGCTTCATGTACTCGTCGATGGCCTTGGTGGCCAAGGTGTTCTCGCGGAAGATCAGGGCCTCGTGGTCATGGAAGCGGTCGAGCTCGGCCACGCCCAGGTCAATCAGGAACGACTGCGGGGACGGGTGGGGAAGGGGTTGGTGGCACCCGGGACCCCCCAGGTGACCCCAAGTGATCCACCATGGCTTGACCATCAAGCCATGGTGGATCTCCTGGTGCTCTGCTGAGTGGTGTTTGACACGTCGAGGGTTCTGTCCTGAGTTGTCCATCACAACCAAACCCAACCAAACCCAACCCAACCAAACCAAATTCATTCAACCAAACCAAACCCAACCGAATTCGTCAAACCAAACCCAACCCAACCAAATTCATCAAACCAAACCAAACCCAACCTAATCCAACCCAACCCAACCTGATCCAACTCAACCAAACCCAACCCAACCCAATCTGATCCAACCCAACCCAACCAAACCAAACCTGGTCCATCCAACCAAACCCAACTCATCCCAACCCAACCCAATTCATTCAACCAAACCAAACCCAACCAAATTAATCCAACCCAACCCAACCCGATCCAACTCCACCAAACTCAACCCAACTCCACCAAACTCAACCCAACCCAACCCAACACAGTGTGAACCAACCAACCCAACCCAACCAAACCAAACCCAACCCAACCCAACCCATCTCACCCATCCCTTCCCATCCCCTCCCCACCTTGGCCTTGCCGGTGCTCTGCAGGACGCGCACCAACGCTCCGGCCAGCTCCTCCTTGTGCCGCGCGGCGATGGCCGGCTCCAGGCGGCCGCACAGCTCCCGGTAGTGGAAGGTGACGAACTCCGCCAGCTCCTTGTAGCGCACGATGGGCAACACCCGCACCTGGCGGTAGCGCCCGCGCAGCCGCACCGCCGGCGCCCGCTCGCCGCCGCCGCCGCTCAGGGGGTACCAGCG